AGTCTTTTTTTCTCCGGGGCATTTTTTCCTATGATCATCAAGGGATTTCAAAAGCAATAAAGTGTGGAATCATTGTTCGACTTGAGCAGTATTAAAACTTAGGTTTTAATTTCAGTGAAGTAATAAGATTTGAACCTGTCTCACATTACAGCACTGTAAGGCATTTAGCAATTGTATTTTAAAGGAGGTTTTTAAAATGCAGCTCACTTGTAAGCTAACTGTCTTTCTGTAATTAATAGTTTTTCTTCAGTCTAGGCTGTTGCAATCAGACCAAGAAATATCTTAGTTTTTAGTAACACATGGTAATTGTAAGTATTAACTCCTAATTAGCCTAAATGTCTAATAATTTTCTGTTTGCTTCCAAAGCTGCTTTTAAAAGAAAAAGGAAAAAAAAAAAAAAAGGACTGGCTTATAAAGCTATAGTGTGTCTTTCCGTTTTCAAAAATACAAATGTACATGTGCATTTATATTTCTATGAGTTTTTATATACAGCAAGATTATGTATTAGTTGATTCATTACTAGTTTTTAGGCACCACATCTCACACACAAACACACAAACACACACACACACACACACACACAAAATTAAATGCCAGATAAGGGTCTATTTGTAAAGCTAAACCAAAAGTAACAGTCTTTTTCCATACGTAACATTGAAACTCATAGTTACATCTCAAAAAAATGCTTTAAAATATGAGCATTTCTATTAGATCAGTATGAGAACATACTTGCTGATAAAAGATTGTATTTACCATTTTGAATTGCTATTGAAAATAATTGCCTCTACAAAAGGAAACATCTGTATGATAGCACATGGTTAAAGCTGCCATCAATTTTTAACATTTGAGGGTTGAGCTATGACCTTTTGTGATGACTGTGAACAGTAACTGCTTCCATTAGCCATAAGTTTTGTTTCTTTATTTTAGTAGATGGCCTAGACTGTAAATATTAGAGAATCTAAAATAAATCAACATATTATCCTAAGGATACAAAATGTAAGAGCTATTTGTGGTTGGAAACCTTTGACAGATAGTTTGGATGAAGCAGATGATTGCCTGCCTAGCGTATCTGGTCTCCATTGCTATGCCTGCGGGCAGTTTAGTGCTATGGTTGTATATTGATGTCAGGGTTAGTACTGAGTGGCTAGCAGTGACAGATGTCTATAATTACAGGCAATGCTTCCAGTATTTCTGAAAAGCCAGCCTATGTTGAACAATTATCTTATTTCTGCCTTGCCAAAGAGCATGTTCCAATTGCTAGTATTAGCAGCAGTGGATATAGAGCTTCATCTGCTGCCTTGGGACAAATGTGTGAAAAGTACTTGGTTATAAAACATAAATGCAAAATATTTTTTCAACATTTTAAATTAGTTAAGTTCAGTGTTCCCTAATTTTTATCTTCCCATAATGTTTCTGTTGAAGGAGTCTTGAAGTACAGAAACACATTTGGCATACTTATTGGGATTTTGTTTTCCCCTAGGCCTGTGTGGTTCCCCAGTGCCAGTGTCCCTTGCTTTGCTGAATAGATGTTAAGCAAGTTGGCTTTGAAACAAGTTGTCTGATGTAGATTGTGTGTTCTGATTGATTGCCATTACAAAATTGGAAATACATTTCCATGGAAAATTTCTCAGTCCCAGTAAATATAGTTGGAAACTTAATGACAAAATTATAAAATGATAGAAAATGCTAAACTATCAGACTGGAGAGGTGGCTCAGTGGTGATGAGTGCTTGCTGTTCTTGCAGAAAGCCTGATTCGTTTCTCAGAACCTACATGGTGGCTCACAATTATCTGTATTTCCACATTCTGGGATCCAGTACTCTCCACTTTGTGGGATCTTGTATGCAGGTGGTGTCCATAAAAATCACACAGTCACTATTCTAAGGATTGCAATTCTTATTTTGTCTATTTTGTTTTTGTTGTTGTTTGAAACAGTTTCTGTGTGTAGCCTTGGCTGTCCTGGTACTCGCTCTGTAGACCAGACTGCCCCACCACTACCCAGCTAGAATTGTGAGTCTTAAATTTTGTTTTAATCTCCTATCCTCAAAGATTTTAGTCTTTTGAGCACTTGTCATTTCCTATCTCTAAGTTTCCTTCCTTACACCTTCGTGGCCCACTTGATTGACTCATTAGAAATATTTTCATTCTTTGTGGTACAATTGTGAGAGTGTTCATTTTATCTGGGTATTTACATTTGTTTCCATGTAATGCCACATCTGCCAGGAGGTACAACCATCCAACACATTTCATCCTTCTTAAATTTAGACATTGTATAGGAATAGTGTCCTTGGTGTAGGTTTCAAATTCTGCATTTTTAGTTACTATAGAGTGAGAAATGCCTAGGAAATGTTTAAGAATACAGTTTTATCTTAAGTCATATTCCAACCTGTAGTGAGTTTCTGCTCACAACTAAACACTTGGTCTGGGTATTAATTTTTTTTTCAGGTAGTTTGGGTTTTTTTTGTTTTGTTTGTTTGTTTTTGTTTTGTTTTGTTTTTTAACTAACTATGATTGTCATCATTTTACAGAACTAAAATTTCACAAAATCCCTTACTCCGAATTAATCCAGTTTGTTTTCCTTTCTGTCATATTGCCTATCTGTAGAGATGGGTTTTAGGCACAATCAGTTTCAGTGACCTAACAAAACCAGCATTGTGACTTTCATTCCCCTGTTAATTATTTCCCAAGGGAATTTCACTTCTCCAACAACAGATTTGAACCAGTGGTCCTAGCTGGCCAGCAGTGACAAGAAAACAAAACTAGTTCCAGATGTTTATATAATCCATCCTAAAATAGGCAACCTGACTCAGAACCCAGAGCCTGGCATAGGGACTACTAACATTATAATCTTTTATATAAAGCTGCCTTACCCATTCTTACTGTGATGACTGCTCCTTGGGCACCCTCACAAAATTCTTAAAATAATTTATAAACTTCTCATTTTATTTTAGAATCCCTTGTGTGTATGTATGAGAAAAACTTTGACAATTAGATGGATTCATCTATCTGAATTGGAAAGACTTCACTAATTTTTTGGACATGGAAATATAAATCATCCATTTGCCTAGTGTGTTGAAAATGTATGGTAGAAGTAGGAAGTAGAAATCTACAATGACTCCTAAAATGAGAATAAGGACTTCAGAACTTCAGACAAGCCTTCAGATAGACATCATGGGCTGCCATTCTGTTGTCTTCCCATTTCCTTCCCCATTTTCTTAACTGCTCCTACTACTGATCCGTTATCCAGTAGATGTTAACACTACCTTTCACCGGCCATTCTCTCCTATAGCCATCCCTGTTTAACTATTACTAAAGCTCTTCACATATAACTTAGAATATGCATCTGTTTTCCAGCACTGGATCCAGATACTCAATCCAGAGCATGACAGTAAGAATAATAAGGACTGCCTTTCATATAAGATTACAAGGGAAGCAACTGTTCTCAGCACGTGCCAGTAGTGGCCACAGCAACTTATGCAAATGGGGGTTTTACTGTGCCGGGGCTGTTCTGCATACTCTTTATTAATTTGCCACTTCAATCCTTTCACAAAACCCTCGGATATTAGTTCTTACATATATCCTCATACTATAGTTTTTTTTAAGAAGCCAAATTTTAAAGGTTAATCAATTTACTTATTATATTCATTTTATAGTTGTCTGAATCCCACAAGTCTTGAGCTTCAGAACCTATGCCCCAATCAGCCCTCTAGATTCCTACCTTTGATTTATTTATGTGTAGGAGTATTTTGCTTTGCATGTATGTTTGTGCATCCTATACATGACTGGTGTCCTCGAAGATCAGAAGAGTGGCTCAGATCCCCCAGAATTGAAGTTAGGTTTGTTTTAGCCACCATGTGTCCTGGGAACCGAAACCAGGTCCTCTGCAAGGAACAAGTGCTCGTAACCACTGAGCCATCTCTTCAGCCTCACATATTATTATTTATTACATTATTCTTTGTATTCTTATATAGATGAAGAATAGAGACTGTCAGTAATTTAAAGTTATAGAATTAATTCATTAAATAAAATGTTTTTGAGTGATTATCTGCAAAGCTAATAAGTAGTAGATTCTCCATCAACACTTCATGTGTTTCATTGTGTTTTATTTGTGTGGAAGCAGAAGAATCGGTTCATGTCTACTACATAGCAAGTTCAAGACCAGCTTTGTCCACATGAAACTCCATCTGAAAATAAAAAGAACATGCTGAGACAGTGGGAAAAAAATTAATGTCATTGGTGATTTTTCATTCCTAGATTATTATTTCATTCCTTACCGTGGTACAGATTCCCTCCCATTTGGAAAAGATAAAGAATTAAGTATCTCTTAGGAGGTCAGAGGTTACAGAGGCTGTTTTTTAATATAGGAAATGGGACATAGTTTCAGAGAGAGATTCCAGAAAGAAAAGTAGAAATATAGAATCATGTAAATAAAACAAAGATGCTAAAAATAGAGGTTGCTTCTAAGTAATTGTCTTATACCTGCTATGACTACAAGTAAACATGCTTTATAGAGGATTGAACAGATGTGTGTATACAAGAATTGGACTGAGTGCAGAAAACTCACTATGATTTTCTTTCTTCTGCACAACTACACAACTGAGTCTGTTGGTTTTTAATGTGGTTTTGGCCATCAGTTGGTGACTTGGCTATTGACATCATTAGTCCCACATGTCTGCCTAGTGTAAGTGCCTCCTGGAAGCTGACAGCTGTAGTCATAATTGATTTGTTCATTTTTTAGAGCTATCCTTAAATGATTGGTTTTTGAATTCTTTTTTAATTATTCTACTGCAGCAAACCCATTGTAATTCCTATAGCCACATTCAGAGTTTGAAAATGACTTCACTAAGTTTCAGAATGACAATCAGTATCACAGAAATATTTTAAGTGATAGCAACAAAGATTATGAGCCATTTTCTACCTGTACCTGAAATTGAGAAGGCTTAGTGCTCTTCTCTTGTCTCTGACGTCAGGTGGCAGGTCCATAAACTCTGTGCTTTTTAGGTTGTACGCCCGAAGAATGATGTTTCCAGAGTTCCAGAGAAGGCTTGGAAAATAGTTAAGGTGAGTTGAGTACCTAGTTATGGTGATGGGATCACCAGTCTTTATGTTTATCTCACTGCAGTCCCAGGTTCTTGTTACTGAGACGGACACATTAACACACAGAGATAGGCGCATTGGTGCATTGCCTTGATTCACTTATATGCATGTGTGTAATCCTAGTGTATGAGGCGTAGAGCCAAATGTTCATTAGCAAGACTAACTCTAAAGACTAGCTAATGTGAAAGCATTTAAGTTTCGTGATTATAACATTTCTGATACCAGAGAGGGTAAGTTTCTCTTACTACATTGAATTGAATGGTATCCATAACTAGCTGTAACTAGCACATACCTGTGCCAGAATGTGCTTCTGGCTGACACTTTGAAGAAGCATGAAAAGTAAAAAAATTCTCTGCTTCCCATTTCCTCACCTCTGCCTTTATCTCCTTTATCTTCTCACAAACTTTCTACAACATTTTTTTTTTTTGTTTGCGTCCTAATCATACCAACCTCATGCAAGGTTTTGTTATAACACAAAATTGTAAATAAACCCTTACATGTTTATTTATAATGCTTCCTTCAACCCGTTGTCTCAAACCTTCCAGCCAGGCCTTCTTTTGCCATAACCTTGTTTGCATCTTTTTCAGTAGGTTTGGAAAGAATAATAGCTAGGATTTTAGCATGGTTTTCTCCACAGAAGACTGGTGAACAGAAGCTTGGCTCCAGACATGGAGTGAGTTGGCAGCCAGCAAGAGCAAAGCTGTGTCAGGACAAATGTACACTCTTCATCGTTTCTGGTTGGCTTTCAGCTGGTTGCACCACAGGGGTCTCTATGAGCTGTGTATCCTGTGACCAATAACTGGTGCACTCGACCCAGGTCCTCTTGGCTAGGGACAGCCTGTCGGGAGGCATTAGGTTCATGCTGGTGACGATCCTTAGTCAGTGGCTCCCTGAAGGAACATGAGGCAAACAGCCAGATTCTGTTGAACAGGTGGTAGTTAGACCTTAGCTCTGATTGTGGGGGTGGTAAGGAAAGATTCTCCAAAATTACCAGCCTTACTGGTTTTCACACTACCTGCGTACTTCTCTGTCCAATAAATGATTGTTTAGAAATGTGTCCAGAAATATCTCAGGAGACATCTGGAATTCTCTAACTTTTCTACCTTCCTTTAGCAGTCTGGATTTGGGCCCATGTCAGGAATGGAAGCCCCACTGGGATGCAAGCAAAAGAGGAAGCATGCTCTTAGCCATGCATCAGTGGAGGCCCCTACTGGGAGAGGGGATTATCACAAGCAGCAGGCAGCCCTGCACCCCAGCCTGCTGAGCATGCTCTGCCACAGGATGTTGAGATAGGAAATGTGAGGCCAGAGTGCTTGCTCCAAGTTTCCTTACACAATAGGTTATTCAAGCAGATTGGGAATGCTTCTTAAGAGATTTGTTAGGTCCGTGTCCCCTTAGCAAGATGGCCACCACAGATGGTGGGTTCAGATATTCTTGTTACAGTACAAATTTAAGACTCATATTTGACTTCCATACTGGCTTTTCTCTGACTCAGATTCTGCTGACAGGGGCAAGCAGATTACTCAGCCATTTCCACTTAGTTTCCAACTTAAATTATGGTTTTAAATTAAATTCTGCCAAAGAATTTTTTGTCTTAATTTCATTACTGTATTTAGTAATTTCATTTTAAATGCTATGGAAAGATTGGCTAAGATTAATATAGATCTATTCAACATCACTGAGTTTATATATTTAACATGCAGCAGTGATGCTTGTACCAATGATTCTCTTGCTGTAATGTTAAGTTTGTTATAGTGTTCCTGTTTTATTGTGCTTCAAATGGCAATGAAGGAGCTCAGTGTCCTTCATTCCAAATGGTTCAGTAAGTAATGAAGTGCTGCAATAGTTCACTCTCCACCTCAGTCTGCTACCAACACTGTCATTTTTAACAGGGTCCTCGTATAGAAAGGACTTAATTGACCACAAGACAAAAAATAATGAAAATTGCTTTCTGACTCATAATACACAGTTGCGTGTCCAAGACTCAAATTCTTTCCTGAGTAACATTAGTGCCTTTGTCATAAGGGACACTGTCCTGTGTGGGGCACTGTCTCCATGTGTGGGCTGTCTCCATGCGGTGCTTTTGAGCCAGGTTTTTTCAAGTTACAAGTCAAAGCCTTAACTGGTAAGTTTATAGTAAATTAAGGCAGTGCTTTAAAATTCAACTGAAGATGGGATGTTACCTATTTTAATTATTTGATAGAAGTTTGTAAGAATACGGGGGTTCAAAGAAGGTTTGTCACCTGATAGCAGAAGTCTTTGCTGTTGATTTGCACAGCACTGCCAATTTTATGCACTGAGCCTCTACAGAATGTGCTAAAACCTTTGAGAAGTTATAACATCTTAAACATCTATAGCGAGCCTACGGGTATTCACTTACTGTAATTTTCTGAAAATTCATTATCCAAAAATCTTAATTCATTATAATGGCTCTTATGAAAACATACAGAACTGGGTTTCTCTTATTCTCATATTTGCACACAATGAGAGATTCGTTGTTTCTAATTTGTTTCATGTGGTGCTTCTGAGTACATCTCACAGAGGGCTGTTATTGAATCTCTGTGACTGTTATTATATCCATCAACCTCTAGGAACTAACATTCTGGGTTTCCCAGTTCTGTAATCTACTTCAGATGCAAGGATTGACATAATTAGCTTCTCACAAGTTATAACCAGAATGCAGCACATACCTAATACCAAGAATCAGCTTGGAGGGGTGGGGAGAAGTCTAAAAAATTAGCACAGGATTTACTTTCACTCTGTATTAAATTTATAGCCAAATATCTTGTTGCTATTTTTATGTTGATTCCCTTCTCTAGTTGTCTTACTTGACTCCTTGTCAAAAACTGTATATATGAACATTGAGAAATGAAAGGGTGATTGAGATTATCTACCTATAAATGCACAAGCAACATCTGTCATTAAGTGAGTTCAGAAAGTGGAGTAGTCTATTCACAAACACTCTCTCCTGAAATTTAGAAGAACCTTTGTAGTAAAACAACATGGATTTATTAAGATGATTTTTAGGAACATGTATTCTCAAACTATAATGACAATTTCTGACATTTATAGAAATTCCATATATTTCACAAGCTGTTTTAATGTGTCAGAGTTAAAATGGGTACTTTGTAGCTTCTAAGGCAGCAACTGTTTAGAAGTAGAGTTGATGTTCAGGAGGCTACGCCCACAAAAGTGGCAGAGGCTAGCCTAGCCTATGTAAGGCACTAGGTTCAGTTCCCAGAACCACAAAGAGAAAGGAAAGAGAAAGAAGTGAAGGTCTTGTGTCATAAAATACTGACATAGTTGTTTTATCCCTTGAACAAAGGAAATTTAATATCTGTGACTAGAATGTGTTAATTGATTCAATGTATACATAAAGATTTCAGAATTACTAATGCAAATTTCAAAGGTTTGCTGGGCTTGACTGTTACCTTTATGCTCTTAAATCTCCATGAGTGCTGGAGAAATGGCTTAGTAGATAAAGCACTTGCTGCGCAGCATGAAGAATTTGATTCTCCAAAACCCACATAAATGATAGGAAGCACTCCAAAACAGGACGAGCTGGCTGGCAAAAATGGCACACTCCAGGTTCAGCTAGAGAGCCTTTCTCAATAAATGAAATAGCTATAGAGTAATCAAGGAAGACAATTGATGTCACTTTCAGGTCTCTGCACAGTCTTAATTATGCAGTTGCACCCTCACACATACAACACACACACACACACACACAAACACACAGTCTAAAAGAGAAATACTGTCTTCCGCTTCTGTTACTTTTGATGTGTAAGGCCTTCTCTTGCAAAGGTTGTTAGCTGAGTATTCCAGAATCTGCTAGGCAGAAAGGCCAATGAAAAGAGATCGTGGGACGTAGCATTTTTTATTAACTGTAAATTGCCAAGGTGTGGGATAGGGGATTATCACTCAGTCATCCCTAAAACCTGTTAAAATTCCTTGTTATAAATTACTGTTATTTCTTCTGTTTTACCAGTAAGAAACCAAGATTCAGAGGTTTTGAGGAACACCTAGTTAGTGGCTGATTAAGAATTCAGATCCAGGGCTGGAAGGATGACTCAGTGGTTGGGAGCACTGGCCGCTTTTCCAGAAGACCTGGGTTCAGTTCCTGGCACCCCACACAGCTATCAGTTCTGGGGGGGGGGAGGTCCAACATCCTCACACAGACAAGTGTGCACATGAAATGAAAATAAATGTTTTTGAAGTGTCTCATTTTAAAAAAAAAAATCAGATCCAAATGTCTTTGGAACCAAAACATATTTTTTCTTTTGCAAAGTTCAAGAATATGTTCTAAGCACTGTGAACAGCAATGTCCCCTCCCTCCAAAACCACAAGTTTAAATAGTGGGTGAAACTTTTATTCGTGTGATAAGTATCTCTAATAGACCTGAAACAGTGGATGCTCCCAAATTCAAAGAAGAAAGGTCTTATTACCTAATCTTGGAAAAAGCTTTCTCCAGGAAATACTTAAGCTTTAAAACCATACCGTTTTAAACAGCAAATGTTTGTCAGTTCCTATACTTAGTGAGCAGGGGTTTTAAATACAAGATCCTGTTTCAAAAGAATAAAAGTAAAATTGGCAAAATTATACATTTGCTCATTAGCAAGCATTAGTAAAGTGGTGGGCATAGTGGACATAAAAGATAGTGTTAGCTCTGTTCTTAGATGTACTGAAGGTGAAAACAAAGGAGGGCTGAAAGCAGGCCAAAATTTGTTTTCTGTGTATGTGTTCCTGACAGTATAAAACACAAGACCAAAGGCATGACTGTATTCATTGTCAGTGTATGATCCAGCCTTGGAAGAGCAACTGGTGATTTGATCTTTCTTCTTTGGTGGTAGTGGTATGTTTTGAAGTAGTCTTTCTTAACCGCTGAGCCATCTCTCCAGCCTTGAAGTAGTCTTTTTATGTAGCTTGTTAGCCTCCAACTCAAAATCTTTGTATCTGTTTCTTGACAGCTGGGATTAGAGGCATGCACTACTTTGCCTGACCTTAATCTCTTTTTCTTCGGTATTTACATGTGTCTCATTAGAATCTAATTATCTACTAGCTTCTGAATTCAAAGGTTAGTCTTCTGTGTACTAAAGGCAGCCTCTTTCTCCTTCCAACTCCATTCCTAAAAAGGAATTTTATGGTGTGGTTTCTTCTTGCTATCATAAAATGTTTTGGTAAAATTAATTTTTAAAATTATTTTGAAGTCTTAAAAGTTGCAGAAAATATTCAGAACTCTGAATATTATGTTAGAATTGTTTTCAGTAGAAATCTTTTATTAACTTGTGCTTTATCATAAATAACTTTATAGATGTTCCCCAGTGGGCAAGTTATCTCTTACCTCCTAAATAGTCTGTATCTATCACGTTATTAAATTCTAAATGTTAGAAGATATTTTCATATTATCTTCATGTTCTCCAAATGGCACAAGACCTTGAAAAATGTGAGTCTTTTAAAAGAAATGCTGTAATCATACATTGATTTTAAATGACCCTGTCACATGTGAAAACAAATCAGATTGTTGCTCTTAATGAGCTTTTCAATTTACTATTCAGTAGATCAGATAAGTGGATTTAAGAGGTAATGATCCCGCTTAGTACTCAAGCTTGACTGTCAGATCCTGGTAGTGGAGAGAAGTCCCCGAGGACAGAAGCGTTGACACAGCTCTAGATGGGATAATGGGGATCAAAGCTAATGGATGCTAAAAGGAATGGTACAAGTTATAAGGAGGATTGTGGGTTAAAGCACTGCCTGTGCCAGTGTTGACTGTTTGCTCTTGCGTGTTATTGCTTCAGATCTGATGCTTTGAGAAACTGTTTTGACAGCAGAACACAACAGACCTGTCTGCCAGCAAACTCGCACAACAGGAAAATTCCTGGTGGGAACCTTAGTTTTCAAAGATACACTTTACTGTTTTCACCATGGCATAGTGAAAATAAAAGTTAGGTTAGTTCTCAGTTTTGCCAAGAATTGAGTTTATAAAGACTATGGTGTAAAATTTTCCTTTTACAGAAGTGCAGAATAGTCATCCTATGATCCAAAACAAGGAGGATGTGATGAAAATACACCAAACATGGTCTTCTTGAGACCTTATCTCTTCCAAAAACCCATGTGTTACTCAGCTACATCTTCCAGCAGTGTCCAATACATTTATGGCACATTTTCTTTCTTTAGAGATGATTGTGAATTCAAGAGGGAAAACTTGACCTGGAGTAGAGCTCAATTTAAATAGCTTCATTCATGTTTTCATCCTTGGTAAGCACCAGTGCCTTTAAATCTCCAGTCAAGGTGAAGAACACAGTGTGTGCCCCTGCAGGAGCAATGAGCAGAAGAGAGCAGGCAGTAGGGAATTGAGTTCCCACTGTTGTCTGCTTTCACAAGGTAGTCTTATATACAGGATCTCACTAGATAATCACAGATTAAAATAACAACCCAAGCTATTCTCTATAATACTTTTCTCTCTTTTGATTTTGCCCACAGAATTCAATTATATATTCTAATATATATATATATAAAAAGGGGGAGGGCATGTTTCATTTTTTGATTATCCACATTGTAATCCAGCCTTCGTAGGTCCACCCATTGCTTTTTCTGTCACAGATTAAGTACTCTTGGTTGCTGAGACAAGGAATAAGGCATAATATCAGCCCTCAAGGATCTTCTAGCATAATGGAAGAGTTGGACAACTAAATATTATGATGTGAAGGGAACATGGTGGAGGAAGGAACAGACCAGATATGAGGATATATAGGAAAATGCAGCTCACCCTACCTGGGAGGCTAATAAGGCCTTTGGGAAATGACTTTAGAATGGGGATAGGAGGAGGCAGATGCTGAGCCAGAGAAATCCTATGGATTACTCAGTGCTTCAGTACTTAGGGTTGAGAGAAACAGTGGGAAGTGGGGTGTACACGGGGCCAAGGTATGAAAGATTTGAACACCAAAAGTCATGTCAGATTATCCAAGAGGACCAATTTGAATCTTCCTGGCCATGAGCTGTGGTAAATTAAGGGGAAGTTTCCTTTTTACATACCATTCTTCCTTTGAGAGGATTGATGGTAACTAAGGTCCTTAGCCTCTCTTTCTCTCCTGCCACAAATGTCTCAGGATCCTAAGTGATCACAGCAGCCATTGCACAATTGTTGGAATACTTCCTGGAGGCTCGCTCTGTAGTAAACAAAAGAGGCTGTGGAAAGTTGAATATTAGTTTTCTTTCCTCTCTCTCTCTGCCCCAGCTTGTCCCCACAATTCTGCTCCTTTCCTACTCTTTCCCTCTACAGCCACCCCTTCCTTTTCTTCCTGTATACTTGTCAGTTGCCCTGCTAGCCTGAGGAAGAGGCTTCCAGACATAGGACTCTGGTTGAAAATCTGTAACACGTCATTCTGATTTGCATAATCTTAAAATTCAAATATAGTACTTGTATACTCTTCTTCTGTGTGACCCTTTAACTCTGAGTTATTGTCTTGTTGTGACCTGTGACATTATATAAGCTAATGTGTAAATACAGCTACATTGCCATACTTAGTAAATAAACAGATTACAGAAGGTGAGACCATATCACCACTGGGGATAAAAATGGCAGAAGAGAGATCCCATGCAGCTGATGTCTGGCAGGGACAACCTCGAATCCCACCAGAGCATAGGGGGTGTAGACATGTCAACTACTCTTAGCTTTGTCAGGATCCCAGTGAATGTTCCACTGGGGTATTTCCCCACTTGGAGTGGGATTGTGTGTTCAAACGCACAATGTGCCTAAGGTTGAGACAGAAATGTCATACCCCAAACTCTACAACCAGCTCTGCCCACTTAGAAACTCAGTCACACTGTCAACAGTAAAACCTGTCTCTGTCTCTCAGCTAGAGAGTATTACAGAGGGTGTGTGTAAGATATATGAGGTCATGGTTTTCCAAAAATTCTTCCTTTTATAATCACCTTATTGATACTTTCCTGAAATCTAGAATAGGTAGAAAGTGTTTATCTGAGATTCTGTTTTGAACATTATTTTCCAATCTTTTGCTTGCCTATTTCCACATTCAAGAAAAAGGTGCCTCCCAACTTGGAAGACAAAGAAGTTATGTGTTGTGTTGGGTGAAAAATGAGTATGGGTCTTTGTGTGTAAGTATAAATACATCCCAAAGGAGGAGTGCTTCCTGTGGGGAAAGTTAATGCGGTCTAGGGTGATAGTGTTTTAATTTCATTAGCTCTTTACTCACTGCCTGTTTCAGTGTGGATGCAGCTGATCTTTGAGTTTTACACTTGTTGAGTAGTCTTTTGAAACTGCCTATGAATGATAAAGCTTTTAACACTTAAATTTTTCATGTAGGTTTATGCCCGCATGTCAGAAGTCTTAGGAATAACAGATGACAACCATGTTCTAGAAACATTCATGACAAAAATGTGAGTATCTGTTTTGGTTTATAATTTTCTTCTGTTGTTTTGAATCACATATCTGCACATACTTAAAACTTACTATCTAAAGGGCATTATCATTTGTCAGGAAGTCCATGTAGTTATAGTGTACAATATAAAAACAGTCTCCTAAAAAGGTTTACAGATACTGGGCAGGATTTTTTTTACTTTATAATTAAAAACAAAACACCCTATCTCAAATACCAATGAAGAACTAATTACAAGCTGTAGTCATAAGCACCTTAAAATAGAACATCCATTGTAGAGCTGAGTGGTTGGACTTCTAGACACACAGTTGCATGTTGAACTGACATTGGTATGCTTCCCCTTGCATACTTTGTGTCTCACAGACAACCCTGTCTTGCTTGCAGGACAAAAGCTGGGTCAACACCAGAACCATCAGTCAGTTTTTGAGCCACCAGATGATAATTCTTTTGGTTCAGTAACTGGTTCACCTTCATTTGATTTCCTTTGTGATGATAATTCCTGTTTTCTTTCTGTTTGGCTTGATTCTAAATTCAGTGTTTCTTCTGTGAACACTTAACATTATAGACTGACTGACTTAGAGAACTATTTACAGAATTATTTTAAACTTAGGGAATTCCATGCCAATGTTCACTGTAAATTGAATATATAAACGGTTAAATGTGCTATAAGAATAAAAAAGTTATGTTGGAATTTGAACATTCTTTTTATTTTGTGATTGAAGTCACCTAACTTAAATAAAATAACTGTATGTTTCTATGGTTCTCTTTATGCAGCCAACAATCTAACAATTTCAAACATTTTTTTTTTCACATTTAGTGTTACAAACCTTAAATACTGGGGAAGATGTGAGCCTGTAATTTCAAGGACACTTCAGTTCCTAAATGACCTTTCCGTTGGATATCCTTTTCATTGTATACACTAATCCAGCAGGTGAATTTACATGGCCAAATATTTTCCCTGCTTCTAATTTTCCAAAATTTGACATTAGAAAGTCTAATCTGTGTAGCCTTATCTATAAATGTATGTTTGTAATAACTGTACTATGAAGCATTTTTCAATCATAAGTGATCTTATATGAACATATATATTGCTAACTAGCTATTTTGGTTAATATTAATCTAGGATACTAAATGTTTATATAATAAAATATGTTTAATTCATGTATTTCAGCTCATAGTTGTTCATAATTTTCAAAAACTTTTTCTGAAAGAAAGCATATAACTAGCTTGAAGAAGGTAAATGTTCCTGGGTCCCTCTTTAAGAGCCTCGTGCACATCAGCCAGTATGGCTTGCACAAGTTAAGACACACAAAAGAATAGAATAATAGAACAAGAGTTGCTGGCTTTTTAATCATTTCTTGGATTGTTGGCTTCCTTACCAGATCATTGTCACACCTACTCATATTAAGACTTTCTGTTGCACATTAAATGTGTACATTTTTCCTTAGAAATTCTTAAACATTTGAAGCCAGCAATCATCATTATTGAATATTTATAATATTTTAGCAGTGAGAACTCGATTGTAGATTGTTGTTTATGTTGTTAGCTGTAAGGTACATAGATGTTGTGAAAAATAAACATTGGTTTAGTTAACCTGTAAGATTAGCTGATATTTTAATATAAATACAAATTGTGAAAATGGTTGGCTTTGGATGGAAACCTTTAATGTAGTTTCATTCCAAGAATATGCTTGTATTAGTTAAGTTTAAGATTGTGTTCCTCCATAAACCATAAAAGATTTCTAAAGTATTAGACACCCACTTTTGTGCTGGAATTTAATATGCAACTTTTTATTGGAAAATAATCGTCCTTGTCTGGCAAAATCCACCATGCAATATTTCTGTTAGTAGGTATAATGCAATAAAGACAGGGAGGGCTATTTATCACTACAAATTTTGAGGATTTCAGGATTCTTTTTATTATTTTAATATATTTCTTTGATATTAAATCAGAAAAATGATAAATTACACCTGTCCAGGCTGTTTTTCCTCTTTACTGAAAAGTGATGTACAACCCAATTCCAGTGGTCATTTTGGCTTTTTAAGATATGTATTTTTTCTTATTAAAAAAACTCCACCTGTATTTTTTTCTAATAATGGTGCTGAAATACTCTTCATTTCTAACATATGAAGTGGTTGATAAGTACTTCATAGTATTGCAACCTCTCCAGCTTTTCACAGTGAATTACTGAGAAAGCGTGTTATCTGGAAGAAGGCCTATGATGGTAGAACACAGACCTATTGTTTAGATTCACTCTGGCTTTAGTTTGAAATTGATATTTAATATAAAATTAATTTGATTTGTATTTAGTATAATTTGCATAATGCCTAATTTATTGGTATCTATTAAGATACTTTTTCTGTTATCTATTTTAAGTATAGCTAGTATAACCTTTTATCTTATAAGCCATTTATTCCTTTTGAATACCTCTTAAAATTAATTTTTAAAAGTCTTATTTTCAAAAAATTTATTAGATAAAGGTTAAAGGTTGTAGCAGATATGAATTATTTCCATGCAGGTACATTGATTTATATTTTTTAACAATTATTTCAAGTTTGCATATTTAGAAATATATATTAGCTCAATTTGATTTCAGTGCTCAGTTATTTGAATTATAAATCATTATGTCCCTTCTAGCTGATCAGTCATGAAATATCTTTGAATTCATTTACATAATGGAATATGTGCTTGGTGTATCCATTTCAATGCAGTCTCTTGTTACCTAATGTGTGTTTTGTTGTTCTCTCCAATTTCATTATTATATGTGTTTTTTAAGCATGATCTTAAAATAATACTTTATTTTTTGTTAAAAATACAGTTTCAGTCCTCAGCTGTAAGAAGGTATCACCTATTGGTCTGCCTTAATGAAAAGCCTTATGTTGATACTCAAAATATTTTGAAATATTATTAGCAAGTCAATGAAAACCATGGTATCTTATAAATACTCATTTTCTTTATAATGTATCTCATTGGGTACTTTTTGGGTATTTTGGTTTGTGTTGTTTTGGTTTTCTTTTTTTCTTTTCTTTTTCTCATTAATTTATTTTTTATATTCCAATCCCAGTTCCCCCTCCCTCCTCTCTTCTTACTTCCCCTACTTACCCCCTCCTCCAATCTGCTTCTCAGAGAGGTTAAGGCCTCCTTTAGGAAGTCTACTAAGTCTGTCACAATCATCTCGTTGAGGCAGGACCAAGGCACCTCTCCATCCCCCACACTCCTGTGTCTATGCCGGGCATGGTGTCTCTCCATATAGAGTAGGCTCCACTAAGTCTGTTTGTGCATTAGAGTTAGATCTTGGACCCACTGCCAGTGGCCTCACGTATTTCCCAGTTGCACCACTGTCACCTATATTAAGGGAGTCTAGCTGTCTTATACAGGTTCCCCATTTGTCAGGCCTGAGTCAGTGATCTCTCACTAGTTCAGATGGGTTTCCCCATCACAGTCTTGACTCCTTTGTTCACATTATCTCTCCTCCCTCACTTCTATTGTACTCCAGGAGCTTGGCCCATTGGTTAGTTATAGATCTCTGCATCTGCTTCCATCTGTTTCTGGAGGAGGGGTCTAGCTTCTCAGGGGTTGTGGATTGTAGACTGGGTATCTTTTGCTTTATGTCTGGTATCCACTTGTGAGTGAATACATATTGTATTTGTCTTTCTGGTTTTAGATTATCTTATCCAGGATGTTTTTTTCTAGTTATGTCCATTTGCCTATGAATTTTAGGAAACCATTGTTTTTTACCGCTGAGTAGTACTCCTTGTTTTTCTTTTTTATTTTATGTGCCTCAGGTGGCTGTCATTCGGTGTTCAGGACACTCAAAGCCAATCTTTGAGCTTTGTTATTTTTCTTTAATCTGACCACTTGTTTGGAAATTAAAATTACCAAAGGTTGTTTTTAAGAATTACAGAAAAGCCTGAAGTTCCCTTAAAGCAGCGGTCATGCTTGGTTGAGCATCAGAACATGATGTCTGTTATGACATCATTAGGCCCCACACTAGCACTTGGCCCTGAGTGGGACCTGAGAGTCTGATCTTTACTGAGTCTCTGGGATACTGATTGGGGACATGTGTGAGAACTTTTCCCTTGAAAATTAGAAAATAGAATTGAATTGTATGTCCTGCTCAAAAGACCAGGTATTTCTCCAGAGGCACATTTTCATTCAGCTTTGCTAGCATTAAATAAGGCAGCTATGACAGATTAGAGGTCATCTGGCTCCCTAGGTAATGATATGGAAACTGTGTGTTAGTAGCCTACTCTGAACCCTCCAAATTGATAAAATTTTGTAATGTTTAAGTCGTCCTTTTTGAGAGAACCTTTATATTTCTCTAATAACTTTTAGTTTACTCTTAGAATTTTCACTAATAAAATTCAAGAACTCTTCATTCTTTTTTTTTTTTTTTTTTTTTTTTGTCAAGGCTGAGAAACTTTTATTGATCAGCATGTTAGGGTCATAATAAAGGTACTTTTGCAGATTTTCTTCTGTCCCGTTTGTGTTTTTTTTTTTATTTATTTTTTTTTATAGAGTATTTTTATTTAATTTTATATAACAAAGTCCAATTAAATGAAAACAAACATTTATACACAATATTTGGGAATTTGGGCGTCTCTCCCTCCAAACTACTTCCTGCTGGTAAGGGGCGCTGTCCTGGGGGATTCGAGGAAGATTCAGATATCCTAGCCGTAGTCTGCAGGGCTGTCCCGTCCAGCTGTTTGGAATGTAGGATCAGCCTGCACTCTGTTTCAGGCGGTCTGGTGTGATCAAACCACATTAGTCTGGAAGGAATCCACATCCCCCCATTTTCTGTGGAAACAAAAATAGAAATACTTTTCCCCAGTAACTTGTTCTTCAACCCAAATCTTGGAGTCAAAAAAGAACTCTTCATTCTTAGTAGCTTGAGCTAACCTGCTCCATCTGGGCCCAGCCCTCTACAGTGCCTGGGATCCTCCCTCTCTAAATTGTTTTACACATCTGGAATCCTAGTTTCTTATCTGGATGAGAAATGGTGAGATTGTCCATTTCTCAGCAGGGAAGCTGCTGAGAAAATCAGAGTGAAGGTTAACAAAGTGTTCAAACTTATCTTAACTGCCAAAAAAGAAAGTGTTGAGTCTCCAAAGTCCTCTTGTTTGTTAACTGTTACTTGAAGCTTTCCTTCTTTTAGAAGGTAGTTGGTCAATATTTCTACATCAGGTCTTTGCCACTATGGGTTCACAGGTATAATAATGAGAAAGGAAGTTTCATTCCTTACAGGCTCCTGTTGGAGGTCATCCTTTTTTGCATAATCTTTAAAGGTTTGGGAAAGGCCAGATGATCTTTAACTTTTAAAAATAGACCCCTAGATGTGTAGGCATAGGAGAGGGAGGCTGGAGATTGTTCAGTGAGCATTGGCTGCTCTAAATGAGACTCACAGTTGGATTCTTAGCACCCATCTTAGGCGGTTGTGGTGAGGATAACTCCAGCACTAAGGAACCCAGCCTCCTCTCTGGCCTCTCTATGCTCCCCTACATGCAGGGCATACAAATAGATATGCACACAAATAAAAATAAAATCTTTTAAAAATAAAAATAGACCTTAATTTATAAAAGAGGGTCTATGTTAATTTTTTAGCGTCATTCTCAGTGGGTCATAGGACCAATTATTTCTTTATCACAAAAACACCTATAAATAAATCCTGAGGCTCTAGCTCAAAATGAAAACTGAGAGGTTCCTTCTTTAAAATTATTTATAATGTCAAGACCTCCAGCAATAAAGCTTTAAACCAGATGAGGCATTTCTAAGTCCTGGAGCCCTATGTGAATGTGTAGCTCATATACCCAGATAACTGCCCTGGTTATCTGTAAATCATTCCTTTTCTTTGGCTTCTGACTATCTCCCTGAAGATGATCTTTACTCTATAGTATTAAA